CCCCCCCGCTACTGTCTTCATCTCTCCATCTCTGCGCTGCTGCGGGCTGCGCCATCCCGGACTCAGACTCCAGTGCCAGCCGGGGGCCCTTGACTCCGGCTGCCGGGACCCCGTCCCAGTGAGACCGCAGGCATGTCATCGGAAAAGTCAGGTAAAAAACAATAACAAAACCTCCCCCACGCCCTCCCTAATCCCCCCCACACTTGCCCTAACTCCCTTCCTTAACCCTCCCTAGCCGGTGGTTAGGGTGGTACGGTTCCATCCTCCCTTCTGTCCACCTCTCAACGCCCCCCAACACCCATTCCTTCCTATCTCCCACCCTTCTCTTCCTCCCTCCGTCCAGTGTCAACCTCTGCCCCTTGCCAACAACATGGACAAGGGGGCAGGTTAAGAGGGAGGTACTGAGCAGCTTATTATCAGCCAGGTATTGCAGGGATAGCATCCCTGGGAGTGACAGATGGACAATCACTGGCTCACTCGCCTGGAGACATCCAGTGGGGAAATACGGAGACATGATGAGATGGGGGTTGGCAGAGAAGTAAAATCTAGAAGGCTCTTTTTTGTGGGCTTTAAAAGGGCCCATTAGATTCCCAGAGAGGCCAGGGCATCCTCCTTCACCACTGAAGGGAAGAGAAAGTGGACAATGTCATTCCACATGTGCTTATACAAAAACTATTTAACACATACGAATACCATGTTGCACGTCTACACATGTGCACTTACAAGGGTAGATCAGAGAGACCAGCCCAAGGTAGCAGTCACATAAGGACAGGAGACAGGGTCTATGAGTGAAAGCTGAGTGCATGCTGATGAAAAAGAAGAAAGAGCAGCAGAGGAGAGTTGTGACCTCAAAACTAGATTGAAGGGGGGAGGGCAGGTGGCCTAGATACAGTCCCTTTCCTGATCCCAAAATGAGAGATGGCTTCTCATCCGTCTCTGTCTTTCCCATTACTTCTCCATCCCTTTCCATCTCCTCTTACCCCTTCTCTTCTCTTCTGTCTTATCTCTCCCCTTATCCTCTCCTCGGCTTCCTGCCTTACGGCCCCCAGGTCTCCCGGACTCAGTTCCTCACACTTCTCCACCCCCGTACAATGCCCCCCAACCCCCAGCCGAGCCCCCCGTCCCGCCCCCACAGGCAGCCCCCTCCTCGCACCATCACCACCACCATCACTACCACCAGTCAGGCACCGCCACCCTCCCGCGCTTAGGGGCAGGTGGCCTATCATCTTCAGCGGCCAACGCTCAGCGAGGCCCCTCGTCCTCTGCCACACTGCCTCGGCCCCCACACCATGCCCCACCCGGTCCGGCCGCTGGGGCGCCCCCACCCGGCTGCGCTACCTTGCCCCGCATGCCACCCGACCCTTACCTGCAGGAGACTCGCTTCGAGGGCCCACTTCCCCCGCCGCCGCCCGCTGCCGCCGCCCCGCCCCCGCCAGCGCCCTCCGCTACTGCCCAGGCCCCGGGCTTCGTGGTGCCCACGCACGCGGGGGCGGTGGGCACTCTGCCGCTGGGGGGCTACGTAGCGCCAGGCTACCCCTTGCAGCTGCAGCCCTGCACTGCCTACGTGCCGGTCTACCCTGTGGGCACGGTGAGTGTGGGGCTGACAGGGGCCCGGGAGGTGGGGGGCACAGTGAAACAGGTCTTGAAATTGGGGACACACTGGAAGCTGGGGAAATAGCGAAACAGGAACAGGGGACCGAGCGGTGTTCTGGTGAAAAGCTCTAGATAGAATTGCAAAGAGGTGAGGGACTAGGGAAAGGCCTGGGAATATGGGTGCTGGAGGGCGGGACGAGAGCGACGTTCTCTTGGGGTCAGTTGTGAGGGTCTGGGAGAGGGAACTGAGATCAAGAGGAGATCTGAAAGGACACCGCCTGGAGGGAAGAAATGGAACCTAGAAACCGAGGGGCAGAGAGAGCAGAAGCTGAGACTGAGTCCGTAGAAATCAGGTAAGTGTGTCTAGAGGGAAAAAACAAGGTCTGTTGAAGACCAGCACAGCGCCAGTGGGCCATACCTCGTGGGAAAATGTGGAGACCGCCAAGAATATGGGAGTTAATGATGCAGAATTTATGGGTGTCCTGGAAAAACAATAATTTTCTTTGAAAAGAAAAAAATGGTGCTTTTACAACCGCTCCGCCAAAGGCCGACCGTTGATAGGCCGTAAGAGGGTCGGAATGAGTCTCCTTCCCCCAACTTTCCTTCCACAGCCCTACGCAGGCGGGACGCCTGGAGGAACGGGAGTGACCTCCACTCTCCCCCCGCCACCCCAGGGCCCGGGGCTGGCCCTGCTGGAGCCGAGACGCCCGCCGCACGACTACATGCCCATCGCAGTGCTGACTACTATCTGCTGCTTCTGGCCTACGGGCATCATCGCCATCTTCAAGGCAGTGCAGGTGTGGGGCGAGGGGGTTTAGAATTACGCGGTTTTTCTTAGTCTGGGCATTCTGGGGATCATCTTAGAGCGAGGCTAAGGCGTGGGAACAAGCAGCGGCTGTCTGACCACCACCCACCCCCGTCCCTGGTAGGTGCGCACGGCGTTGGCCCGCGGAGACATGGTGTCCGCAGAGATCGCTTCACGCGAGGCCCGGAACTTCTCCTTCATTTCCCTGGCGGTGGGCATCGCAGCCATGGTACTCTGTACCATCCTCACAGTAGTCATCATCATCGCTGCGCAGCACCACGAGAACTACTGGGATCCCTAAAAACGCCCCGGCCCAGCCCCACTGTGCGCCCCTCGACCTCCCAGGCGCCTTCTGCAGTCATGCCGCGGACCCAATGGGTGTCCTACTCACCGGCCTCTAAGGCCGCTGGACTTCGATACATCCTAAACTCCGCCTCCACGGAACCTCTCGCCTTGAGAGTCCAATGTGAATCCAGTTCCTCAGGAACCTTTCCAAAACCCACAACCCCCGGGACGCCGTTTCCCGGGATCCCCGCCAAACTCCCGGCTCTCAGTAGTTCCAATCTTCCACCTGCTCAAAGTGCGACGCCCCCAGCCGAGCTCGCGAGGTCTGTGCTTGCCAGCCGCGAGTCTGGTCCCCAAAGCCCCGCCTCCTCTTCAGGCTCCGCCTCAACTCCGGCAAAGCCCCGCCTCCAGGTGGGCAAGCTCCGCCTTCTTTTCCTCCCTGCGGGGTGATTCAGTCTGGTTATTGGGTTTGTGGCTCTAGGCCCAGCCCACAGACCGACAGACACTTCCCCTTCGCTCTAGGACCTAGCCCCGGGATAACCACACCCCCACGCTCGCTCCAGTTATTTGCTAGTACTGTTTTGTCCTCCTTCTCCTGGGTCTCTACCTATTTTCTTGCAAATTTCGGAACCTTCTTCCTCCTCACTCCACCCCCGCCTTTGTTTTTTGAAATGAGACTTGGGAAGTTTCGAGTTTAGGATCCTTAATCTTGGAATAAGAAACTAGTCTCATTGTCTGTAAATACTCCTTTCCACCTGTCCCAACCCCTGGGCAACCTGGCAGAAAGGAATCCAGGATAGTGACCTCCCGAGCCCAGGAGGGAGCCGGCCCGCTCCCCTCTCCCCTCGGTGGTCCCTGCCTTGTTCTGATCTGTGTGTGCGTGTGTGAACTTCTGAAAGACAATATTAAAGAAACTTAGTGGATTTATCACCCGCGATTCCAAAGGCTGCGGCCCCACTAAGACCCTCCCCTTTTTGGGTCCCCTTTTCATTTCTCCATCTCCTTGGGGAAGGGGGAGACAATCAACAAAAACAAAAATGGGAAGAGACAGATTTCCAGAACACGAGAGAGACACAAATAGGAGGAATAGAGAGGGGCCCCTGGATATAGCCATTAGGGAAGACCTTGGTTGCCTTTCTCACTGAGGGCTTTCAGACCCCCACCGCCCCTTTCCCACTCCCTTCTAGACTGGGTTTAGGGCTGTAGGAGTCCACAGATCTTTCCCTCAAACTCCAGAAAGACGAGAGGAAAGAAGATGGCAGACCATTGTGAAGTTGGTCAAGGATGGCGGGGGGCGGGGTGGGGGAAGGGGGGTCGGGGCGGGGAGGCAGGCAAAAGTTACCAGCTGCGCACAGCTCTTCCTGACTTTGGGCTGAAAGTGGCAGACAACCTGGATTAGAGCCCCCCGTGAGGGGCTAGGGTAGGCAAAGAGCTGTGTGAACCCTAAGGAGGAGGTAATAGCCTCTCAAGTCTCCTGCCTACCCTGATGTTAGCTGAGAAGGCATCTGCGTGGGAGGGGCTGAGGATGAGACTAGTGGAGGACTTTGAGCCTTTCATTGTATAAGCTTTCATTATACCCTTCAGGACACGGTTCTAACCCTAAATTTGTGCATTCATACAACAGAGGCGTGACCCTGACCTCATGGAGCTTACAGTCTACAAGGGAAGCCTTGCACGAAGACAGAAGACAAGAAAAGGGGATGTCATGGGTTCTCTTTGGGATATTTTAGGTATAAGGTGCCTTCCTTATCAAACTTCTTGAAAAAATAATACTCGCTTGCAGCTTCTACTTCCTCATCTCCTATTAATCTTTTTTTTTTTCCTTAAATAGGGGAGTAGAGCTATCAGAGATTTTTGCACCTTCCCCACCCCCCAACCCAGTACAGGGTTTTTAACTCAGAGCTTCAATGGGGCACACCCCAGCCCTTTTTGCTTTAGTTATTTTTTTAATAGAGTCTCACAACTTTTGCCTGGATTGCAATCCTCCTATTTATGTTTGCCAAGTAGCTGGTATAATAGGCACACACCACCACGCCCAGTTTATTGGTTAAGATGGAGTCTTGCTAACTTTTTGCCCAGGCTGGTCAAACCACCCAACTTCCTGCTCTCCACCTCCAGAGTATCTGGGGTTACAAGTGTGAGCCACCAACTGGTTCTGTTTTTCTTTTCTTTCTTACCCACTATTTCTTTTTTTGGGGAGAAGGGCTAGTACTGGGGTTTGAATTCCGGGCTTCATGCTTGCTAGGCAGACTACCACTTGAGCCCTTTTTTGTGTTGGACATTTTAGACATAGGGTCTCTCAAACTATTTGTCCCAGGGCTGGCTTGGAACCATGATCCTCCTGATCTCTGCCTCCTGAGAAGCTAGGATTATAGACATGAGCCAACAGCACCTGGCTACATACCCCCTATTTCTTGACCTCTTGAAATATGCTTTCACTCTCTACACTACTGAAATCATTCTCTCAAATGGCACCCAAAGGTCAGAGTTTGCCTGGGCCAAAATCAATGGCATTTTTCACAGTACTTGCTTCTCTAACCCTCCTGTGCCTATCTCTTGACTCTGGATTCCCCACAACTCCAGGCTCAGGGACATGTACTCTCCTCTCCCAACCTCTTCATCCTCATACCTCTAGTCATTCCTCCTTCCTTTTTCTCCACCTTTCCCTAAATGTCTGTCTCTGAATTTCTTTTTCTTTCTCCGAGATGTTCCTTTGAAAGCTTATCTACTCAATATATCCATCATCTTTATTTAATTAGTTATTTACTTTCATTTGATTGGTTGATTGGTCTTGCTATATAGCCCAGACTAGGCTCAAATTCTCAATCCTCCTGCCTCCTGAGTGTTGGGATTACAGGCAGACACCACAAGGCCTGGAGTTCTGATTTTTTTTTTTTCTGGTGCTGGGGATTGAACTGAGGGCCCCTCACATGATAAGCAAGTGCTCTACCACTGAGATACATCCCCAGCCTCTAAACATCATCACTAACACTAACCCAATGCCTCTATAACCTTTATGTGCAGACATTCTTTTTTGGAGGGGGTGGGACTGGAATTTGAATTCAGGGCTTCACACTTGCAAAACAGGCACTCTACCACTTGAGCTAGACCTTCAGTCCATTTTGCTTTGGTTATTATTGGAGATGTGGTTCCCAAACTATTTGCCTGGTCTGGCCTCAAACCACGATCTCGATCTCCCGACCTCACCCTCCCAACTAGCTAGGATTGTCAGCATGAGCCACCTTTTCCTAGCTCAGACATTCTTCCAGTGCCTTTGAACACAGATAGCCACATGAACCATGCTACCTTACTCTAAACTCAGCATATTCCAAACCAACCCTGCTTCCCTGTTTTTTTAAATGACTTTGTCTTCCAGTCACCCTTCCTTATCTGATACTTGCCACCCCCCCCCACCTCCTGCCTTACAAAGGTGTACTGTCAAGCCTGAGTCAATTTCACAGCCACAATATGTTTTGAATCTGTAACTTTTCCCCAGCTCTTGCCAGAAGCATTACCTCATCTAGGATTATTGCAGCAGCTTCCCCAACAGGTCTCCCCGCCACCTACCTCTCCAGCTCTCCCTCAAAGCTGCTGTCAAATTATCCTCCCTAGACACACTTCTTACATAATTTCACTGCTTAAAACCTTTCAAAAACCAGTCATAGTGGCATGCACCTGTAGTCTCAGCTATAGGGGAGGCTAAAGGGGGAGGATCACTTGAGCCCAGAGTTTGAGACTAGTCTGGGCAATATAGTGAGACCCTGTCTCTAAAAAGGGGAAAGTAAAAATAAAAAGCCCTTCAACATTTCCTATTGTTTATTCAATCATTTACAAAATATCAATCTGGCCTTCAACTCCTTTCATAATTGTGCTTGCAAAGCAGGAGCTCTACTACTTGAGCCACATCTCCAGCCAAAGGGCAACTTTCTTTAAAAGTATCCAGGTCTGAAACCCACCCAATTGCATTTCTTCCCTACCCCACTCCATCCCCCCAACCCTCACCCCTACCCCTGCCTAGGCCTCTTCTCGTCTTTTTTTTTCCTTCTTTTTCTTTTTCTTTAAGCGTTTGAATTCAGGGTCTCATGCTTGCTAGGTAGGCGATCTTGAGCCACTCTGCCATTTCCTTCACCTGTTGTCTTGATGAACAAACCTTCCTTGGAACTCATTTGAAAGCTGGAGCCAAATCTGGTTTATCTGTGGTTTTCAGATCATCATCTGATAAAACCTCTTCCACCAATCTTTGAACTCAATTGAACTGAAAGTAATCAGGCAGAAGGAGAAGTGAGTAAAAATGACTTCTCCCTAATCTCTTCAATTCAGCCAGACTCCTCCCTGGGGAGGAAACAAAATACTGTTTTCCAATTTGATTCTCCTACCACCTTACCTCAACGCCCTCTCCACACAGTGCCCTCCGCTCTTGCACCCTACTGACAGATTCCACCTTCCAGCAGAGGTTCTATACCCCCTGAACATCTACTCTTTTGTGTGTGTGTGTGTGTGTGTGTGTGTGTGTGTGTGTGTGTGTGTGGTACTGGGGTTTGAACTCAGGGCCTTACAATTGCTAGGCAGATGCTCTACTGTCTTCCAATTTGATTCAATATTGGGTCATTAATCCCTCTGATTTATTGACGATTTGGCACCTGTCTATTTCTATTTCTGTGAACTTTTTCATTTTTCTTTTTCTCCTTCCTTCCTTCCATCCTCCCTCCCTCCCTTCCTTTTTCCCTCTTCTTTTCTTTTCTTTTTTCTCCCCAGTGGTTGGGGATGGAACCCAGTGCCTCATGAATGCCAGGCAAACATTCTACCATGAATCTATATTCTCAGCCCCTCGTTTCAGTATTTCTAATGTCTTCGGTATCCATGTAGATCATCCAATACTCTGGACAATTGCTGGCCTCTAGTGATCTGATGTCCCATTCTCCCAGCCATCCTCTCTTTCTCTGTATCATGCCTTCAACTTGGTCACCACCAATAACTGTCATCTTTCCAAAAATCTTTATATCCACAGTCTTTTCATATCAACCGCCAGAAACCCTGTTCCAAAAATTCCCAACCCTATCTGGACTTCCCAGTGATTAACTCTCTGCATTATTTTTAAGTGGTGTTTGATTCCCTTGATTTCT